CGCTTGTGCTGCGACATCTGGCCGTGCAGCAGCACACTGAACACTTGTCCTAGCCAGCTGGGACTGACCTGGAAGCGACGTCTGTGCAGATGAGCACGGAGCGCGCGCGGCTCTTGAACTTGTTGAGTGCGGCGAGGCGCTTGTGCTGCGACACCTGGCCGTGCAGCAGCACACTGAACACTTGTCCTAGCCAGCTGGGACTGACCTGGAAGCGACGTCTGTGCAGATGAGCACGGAGCGCGCGCGGCTCTTGAACTTGTTGAGTGCGGCGAGGCGCTTGTGCTGCGACATCTGGCCGTGCAGCAGCACACTGAACACTTGTCCTAGCCAGCTGGGACTGACCTGGAAGCGACGTCTGTGCAGATGAGCACGGAGCGCGCGCGGCTCTTGAACTTGTTGAGTGCGGCGAGGCGCTTGTGCTGCGACATCTGGCCGTGCAGTAGCACACTGAACACTTGTCCTAGCCAGCTGGGACTGACCTGGAAGCGACGTCTGTGCAGATGAGCACGGAGCGCGCGCGGCTCTTGAACTTGTTGAGTGCGGCGAGGCGCTTGTGCTGCGACATCTGGCCGTGCAGCAGCACACTGAACACTTGTCCTAGCCAGCTGGGACTGACCTGGAAGCGACGTCTGTGCAGATGAGCACGGAGCGCGCGCGGCTCTTGAACTTGTTAAGTGCGGCGAGGCGCTTGTGCTGCGACATCTGGCCGTGCAGCAGCACACTGAACACTTGTCCTAGCCAGCTGGGACTGACCTGGAAGCGACGTCTGTGCAAATCAGTACGGATCGCGCGCGGCTCTTGAACTTGTTGAATGCGGCGAGGCGCTTGTGCTGCGACATCTGGCCGTGCAGCAGCACACTGAACAATTGTCCTAGCCAGCTGGGACTGACCTGGAAGCGACGTCTGTGCAGATGAGCACGGAGCGCGCGCGGCTCTTGAACTTGTTGAGTGCGGCGAGGCGCTTGTGCTGCGACATCTGGCCGTGCAGCAGCACACTGAACACTTGTCCTAGCCAGCTGGGACTGACCTGGAAGCGACGTCTGTGCAGATGAGCACGGAGCGCGCGCGGCTCTTGAACTTGTTAAGTGCGGCGAGGCGCTTGTGCTGCGACATCTGGCCGTGCAGCAGCACACTGAACACTTGTCCTAGCCAGCAGGGACTGACCTGGAAGCGACGTCTGTGCAGATGAGCACGGAGCGCGCGCGGCTCTTGAACTTGTTGAGTGCGGCGAGGCGCTTGTGCTGCGACATCTGGCCGTGCAGCAGCACACTGAACACTTGTCCTAGCCAGCTGGGACTGACCTGGAAGCGACGTCTGTGCAGATGAGCACGGAGCGCGCGCGGCTCTTGAACTTGTTGAGTGCGGCGAGGCGCTTGTGCTGCGACATCTGGCCGTGCAGCAGCACACTGAACACTTGTCCTAGCCAGCTGGGACTGACCTGGAAGCGACGTCTGTGCAGATGAGCACGGAGCGCGCGCGGCTCTTGAACTTGTTGAGTGCGGCGAGGCGCTTGTGCTGCGACATCTGGCCGTGCAGCAGCACACTGAACACTTGTCCTAGCCAGCTGGGACTGACCTGGAAGCGACGTCTGTGCAGATGAGCACGGAGCGCGCGCGGCTCTTGAACTTGTTGAGTGCGGCGAGGCGCTTGTGCTGCGACATCTGGCCGTGCAGCAGCACACTGAACACTTGTCCTAGCCAGCTGGGACTGACCTGGAAGCGACGTCTGTGCAGATGAGCACGGAGCGCGCGCGGCTCTTGAACTTGTTGAGTGCGGCGAGGCGCTTGTGCTGCGACACCTGGCCGTGCAGCAGCACACTGAACACTTGTCCTAGCCAGCTGGGACTGACCTGGAAGCGACGTCTGTGCAGATGAGCACGGAGCGCGCGCGGCTCTTGAACTTGTTGAGTGCGGCGAGGCGCTTGTGCTGCGACATCTGGCCGTGCAGCAGCACACTGAACACTTGTCCTAGCCAGCTGGGACTGACCTGGAAGCGACGTCTGTGCAGATGAGCACGGAGCGCGCGCGGCTCTTGAACTTGTTGAGTGCGGCGAGGCGCTTATGCTGCGACATCTGGCCGTGCAGCAGCACACTGAACACTTGTCCTAACCAGCTGGGACTGACCTGGAAGCGACGTCTGTGCAGATGAGCACGGAGCGCGCGCGGCTCTTGAACTTGTTGAGTGCGGCGAGGCGCTTGTGCTGCGACATCTGGCCGTGCAGCAGCACACTGAACACTTGTCCTAGCCAGCTGGGACTGACCTGGAAGCGACGTCTGTGCAGATGAGCACGGAGCGCGCGCGGCTCTTGAACTTGTTGAGTGCGGCGAGGCGCTTGTGCTGCGACATCTGGCCGTGCAGCAGCACACTGAACACTTGTCCTAGCCAGCTGGGACTGACCTGGAAGCGACGTCTGTGCAGATGAGCACGGAGCGCGCGCGGCTCTTGAACTTGTTGAGTGCGGCGAGGCGCTTGTGCTGCGACACCTGGCCGTGCAGCAGCACACTGAACACTTGTCCTAGCCAGCTGGGACTGACCTGGAAGCGACGTCTGTGCAGATGAGCACGGAGCGCGCGCGGCTCTTGAACTTGTTGAGTGCGGCGAGGCGCTTGTGCTGCGACACCTGGCCGTGCAGCAGCACACTGAACACTTGTCCTAGCCAGCTGGGACTGACCTGGAAGCGACGTCTGTGCAGATGAGCACGGAGCGCGCGCGGCTCTTGAACTTGTTGAGTGCGGCGAGGCGCTTGTGCTGCGACATCTGGCCGTGCAGCAGCACACTGAACACTTGTCCTAGCCAGCTGGGACTGACCTGGAAGCGACGTCTGTGCAGATGAGCACGGAGCGCGCGCAGCTCTTGAACTTGTTGAGTGCGGCGAGGCGCTTGTGCTGCGACATCTGGCCGTGCAGCAGCACACTGAACACTTGTCCTAGCCAGCTGGGACTGACCTGGAAGCGACGTCTGTGCAGATGAGCACGGAGCGCGCGCGGCTCTTGAACTTGTTGAGTGCGGCGAGGCGCTTGTGCTGCGACACCTGGCCGTGCAGCAGCACACTGAACACTTGTCCTAGCCAGCTGGGACTGACCTGGAAGCGACGTCTGTGCAGATGAGCACGGAGCGCGCGCGGCTCTTGAACTTGTTGAGTGCGGCGAGGCGCTTGTGCTGCGACATCTGGCCGTGCAGCAGCACACTGAACACTTGTCCTAGCCAGCTGGGACTGACCTGGAAGCGACGTCTGTGCAGATGAGCACGGAGCGCGCGCGGCTCTTGAACTTGTTGAGTGCGGCGAGGCGCTTGTGCTGCGACATCTGGCCGTGCAGTAGCACACTGAACACTTGTCCTAGCCAGCTGGGACTGACCTGGAAGCGACGTCTGTGCAGATGAGCACGGAGCGCGCGCGGCTCTTGAACTTGTTGAGTGCGGCGAGGCGCTTGTGCTGCGACATCTGGCCGTGCAGCAGCACACTGAACACTTGTCCTAGCCAGCTGGGACTGACCTGGAAGCGACGTCTGTGCAGATGAGCACGGAGCGCGCGCGGCTCTTGAACTTGTTGAGTGCGGCGAGGCGCTTGTGCTGCGACATCTGGCCGTGCAGCAGCACACTGAACACTTGTCCTAGCCAGCTGGGACTGACCTGGAAGCGACGTCTGTGCAGATGAGCACGGAGCGCGCGCGGCTCTTGAACTTGTTGAGTGCGGCGAGGCGCTTGTGCTGCGACATCTGGCCGTGCAGCAGCACACTGAACACTTGTCCTAGCCAGCTGGGACTGACCTGGAAGCGACGTCTGTGCAGATGAGCACGGAGCGCGCGCGGCTCTTGAACTTGTTGTGTGCGGCGAGGCGCTTGTGCTGCGACATCTGGCCGTGCAGCAGCACACTGAACACTTGTCCTAGCCAGCTGGGACTGACCTGGAAGCGACGTCTGTGCAGATGAGCACGGAGCGCGCGCGGCTCTTGAACTTGTTGAGTGCGGCGAGGCGCTTGTGCTGCGACACCTGGCCGTGCAGCAGCACACTGAACACTTGTCCTAGCCAGCTGGGACTGACCTGGAAGCGACGTCTGTGCAGATGAGCACGGAGCGCGCGCGGCTCTTGAACTTGTTGAGTGCGGCGAGGCGCTTGTGCTGCGACATCTGGCCGTGCAGCAGCACACTGAACACTTGTCCTAGCCAGCTGGGACTGACCTGGAAGCGACGTCTGTGCAGATGAGCACGGAGCGCGCGCGGCTCTTGAACTTGTTGAGTGCGGCGAGGCGCTTGTGCTGCGACATCTGGCCGTGCAGCAGCACACTGAACACTTGTCCTAACCAGCTGGGACTGACCTGGAAGCGACGTCTGTGCAGATGAGCACGGAGCGCGCGCGGCTCTTGAACTTGTTGAGTGCGGCGAGGCGCTTGTGCTGCGACATCTGGCCGTGCAGCAGCACACTGAACACTTGTCCTAGCCAGCTGGGACTGACCTGGAAGCGACGTCTGTGCAGATGAGCACGGAGCGCGCGCGGCTCTTGAACTTGTTGAGTGCGGCGAGGCGCTTGTGCTGCGACATCTGGCCGTGCAGCAGCACACTGAACACTTGTCCTAGCCAGCTGGGACTGACCTGGAAGCGACGTCTGTGCAGATGAGCACGGAGCGCGCGCGGCTCTTGAACTTGTTGAGTGCGGCGAGGCGCTTGTGCTGCGACATCTGGCCGTGCAGCAGCACACTGAACACTTGTCCTAGCCAGCTGGGACTGACCTGGAAGCGACGTCTGTGCAGATGAGCACGGAGCGCGCGCGGCTCTTGAACTTGTTGAGTGCGGCGAGGCGCTTGTGCTGCGACATCTGGCCGTGCAGCAGCACACTGAACACTTGTCCTAGCCAGCTGGGACTGACCTGGAAGCGACGTCTGTGTAGATGAGCACGGAGCGCGCGCGGCTCTTGAACTTGTTGAGTGCGGCGAGGCGCTTGTGCTGCGACACCTGGCCGTGCAGCAGCACACTGAACACTTGTCCTAGCCAGCTGGGACTGACCTGGAAGCGACGTCTGTGCAGATGAGCACGGAGCGCGCGCGGCTCTTGAACTTGTTGAGTGCGGCGAGGCGCTTGTGCTGCGACATCTGGCCGTGCAGCGGCACCGCCGCCACGCCCAGCGCGCGCAGCAGCAGCGCCGCTCGTAGCGCGCCCGCGCACGTCGATACAAACACTATGAACGAGTTGCCCGACAGCTCGTTCAGAATGTGCACCAGGTACACGTCCTGGGGGCATCCGTTAAAATTTTAGGAAAATAGATACTTGTATTACTACAAGGTATACATCTTTGAAGCATCTATTAGTCTAATCCACTGTTAAGCACAGACCTCATCCACTGAGTGTCTCATAGGGATTTTGGACATCCATTAAAATTAAAGGCATATTGACACGAACACGATGAACCAGTTGCCAGACAGCTCATTCACAACATGCACCAGGTGCACACTCTGAGGGCAGCCATTTGTTTATAATCCACTGCTAAACATAAGCCCCACTTACAGTGTGTCATAGATAATTTGGACATCCATTAAAATTAAAGGCACATAGACACAAACATGATGAACGAGTTGTCAGTAAGCTCATTCACAACATTCACCAGGAACACACCCTGAGGGCAGCCATTTGTCTATAATTCACTGCAGGACATAGGCCTCTCTGAAGTTTTTCTTAACTTTTCTCTTATAGTTTCCCACTTACACAACACCTATGGGGTTATTATTTCTTAATCTACTTCATCAGCACTCAGAAATCTTAATTAATTTAGTATTATATATTATGTCTATTAATCTATGATTATCAGGAATATATACTGAATTGTTGACATTGATTTAATTCATTAAAATGTATATTTTTTCCTTGCTATTGATTATTCATGAGAGTTTGTTAGAGAGCCTATGTAAATAATAAAATAGATAGCGGCGAGACAGGTAGTTAATGACACCTACCACCTAATAAACTAATATTTAGTTATTGTCACTATATCTTTCAGATTACATTAACACCTGTTTGCATTGTTATGTCTTACAAAGTATATAGCCCGGTTAAGAGCAGCATGTACATGGGTATTGTATCAAGGTTTGAATGATTATATATCTTGTCACTCTAATATATCTTGTGTGTTGTAAACTCCCAATTGAGAAGAGTCGTAATTCTCCCATTTATACCAATAAAAGCAATACAATAATTTATACACTACAAATGTTGACCAAAACTAAGACTGGATATCTACCAAGCGTAATAAGTAGGTAGATATGTTTTATAGCTATAATATATAATTTAAGTAACAAAAACATACCTTATACTTCAGAGGTATAAACAAGTAGTACTGTTGCAGTTTCTCCACAGTCTGGTATTTAGTTGACACCTCTATTTTCACTGGATCTTGCAAAGAGGCACGCTGAAGTTTCTGTACTTTTTTGGTCATTGTTGCAGAGAAAAGATATGTGCGACGCTCCCGTGGTATTGCACGTAAAATTTTGTCAACTTCCACCTCAAAATCCATGTTCAAAATGCGGTCAGCTTCATCCATAACCTAAAATATAAGGAATAATTACCACAATGTACATATGAAACTGTGTTATACATTGTTTTTCTTCATTAACCTGACAAGCATAAAATATCACAGCTAGACATGGGCTACTTTTACTATACAAAGAATTTGCTTTAATGTCGATTAAAGTAAATCCTTGGCAGATACATTGCAGATTGCAGTATCTATGATGTTGCTGAATGCTGAATAATTAGGTTTACAATTTCAGAAACATGGAATATTTAAACGACATTAGTCTCACAAATAATTACGATTAAAGGTATATGGAAGTAAAAAAAAAAATCCGGTCAAGTCCAAGACAGACTCGCGCACTGTGCGTTCCGAACAAATCCGTTGATATACAAGTTTAAAATTATTAAAAATATTTTTATTATATGATGTAACTAAAAATTTATGCTTTTCACAATTTTCCTTTATCTTTTTTTTTATAGGATAGGGTGATAAACGAGCACACAGTCCACCTGATGGTAAGTGGTTGCTGTGGCCCATAGACATCTACATTTATCCTTGTTTGCAAATCAAAATGCAGATGCATTGTCACCCGTGAGGACTAAGATGGAATGCCTCTTTTCTAGTAAAAAGGGTCTCCGGTTCTCTACACTCACCATACGACACACAGCAGCATTAAGCTATTTTACGCTGGTATTCTGTGAGAGCGTGGTCCTTTACCGGTCGAGCCCACCCATTCGTGCTACAACTATACTATTAATATAGCTGCAGCATGGCTCTACCACGTAAGAAAATATATGTATATATCTGTGCTATAATACATTGCTTTGTAACAAATTTTAAAATTCTGAGTGCACGGGAAGTACCCTATGTAGGTTTTGGTTCCCTTGCAAATGTCGAAAATTTGCAGCATAAACGGCTGTATCTTTTGATTGCGTTGGCTTAGAAGTTTGATTTCTTCACAGCTCTAAGGGACAGTAGACTTGAGTATTTGATATGAATTTCAGCTTGATACCTCCACGCGTTTTGAGAAAAAGGGTCTAAGGGAAAAAGGAAGACGGACAACAAAGTGATCCTATAAGGGTTCCGCTTTTTCCATTTTAGTACGGAACCCTAAAAACAGTGTAAACTGTCCCCATTGCATCATGACACTCATTGTGTTATAAACACATCTACACTTACCAGATATTTCAGTGCTTTTAAATTGAATCCCTTTGTGTTTTCTAAATGATCCACAAGCCGACCCGGGGTTGCTATAATAATATGTGGCTTTTTTGACAACATGAGGGCCTGGGCGACCATGTCCATTCCTCCCACTATCACTGCACATTTTACACCAATACTGGCACCTAAAATAATCATTAGTTTAAAAAGTGAGCAAAAGGACAGAGATTAATCAAATATACCATTAACATCTGAAACCATACAAAAAAACAACAACACCGGGACATACAAAAAAATTGATTGTAGGTTTTTTACCAATTAATGTTGTTTTTACATCAAATATAGAGCTATTTCTTTATTAGTAAAATTAATTGCCAACTAATATGATATGATAAAAAGCCAATGTTCAATAATGCTTTTGAAGCCATGTTTTTGCATTGTAGAGCCTTGATAGCTCCATATAATAAAAGCTGAGGGTCAGTGCCCATCCTCATGACCATGGGTACAAAGCACCCGAAACATTGGTAATTAAAAAAAAAGTTAAATAAAAGTAACTATATACAATACTACCATAATAAAACACTAACACAATGTCTGTCTAAACACGTATCACGTAAAAACCTGTGAACTGATTTAGATGCAGCTTTCACTGGCAGATAGCTGATATTATAGGGAGTAACTTAGGCTACTTTTATTTAAGGGTTCCATGTAAAAAAAAATCCATGCGGGCAAAGTCACAAGGAACAGCTAGTATAGAATAAAATCTTTAAAAATTTATTTTATTCAAACAATAAAATCGTTAATTGCAATTTTAAATGCTGATTTAACATATATTTGGTGGTGAAGGAAAACATCATAAGGAAACCTACATATTTGAGGAACATATGCCATAGTTATGTAAAGTCAACATAGTTATGTACAGCCAACACACATTGAAAGTGTAGTGGATTAATTTCTCCATAACTCTTTTAGAAATGAGAAGAGACTTATGCAGTGAGATGTATAGAAGCTGTAACTACTTTTTAAATATTAATAGAAAATTTTACTACAAATATAAAGTTAATCACAAATTCATACCAAGTGCTTCAAACTGCTCAGAAATCTGGAATGCCAATTCTCTGGTAGGTGTGAGAATAAGTGCAAAATACCTCTGCGGGTTTTCTAAAAGTGCTTGAAGGATTGGCAGTGCAAATGCACCTGTTTTGCCGGATCCAGTCTCAGCTAAACCTATTATGTCTTTGCCTTGTAAGGCTACTGGAATTGCTTCTTTTTGAATTTTTGATGGATGTTTCCATTTCAATTCTTCACATGCTTCGCATAAAACATCAACTACACCCTGTAATTAATATGAGATAACCAAAAGTAATATCTATTATAAGGGAACACAATATAACAATTTAAGAGTATTCAACCATAACTTTTAATAAGAATATTAAATGCTGTAATTTAATATGTATAATTGTGTTTATTTTGGAAACTAATGGAATTGAAATTAGTTATAACAAAGTAGTAAAGTGTACTTACCAATTCTTTAAAAGTTACTGTTTCCTCTTCATTGACACCATTTTGGCAACCCCCAATATTCTCTTCTATTTCTTCTGTAGAATGTTTACTATCATTATCACTATTTTCAATATCCTCGGTCATTTTCAAAATATTACAAAATTATTTGAAACCCACGTGAAAAGTGAAAACTGTGTCAATGTGACCATAGATAAATAAATATGTAGCACAAACTATATAGATTATAGAAACACTATGAGCTAAATGTGACACATTTTTTAATAACTAGCTTTACGGCTCTGGGTTCTAGGTTCTAGCCCTTCTGAGCCTGAAGTTTACAATGTTAATTATCCTTCATAGTTCACTACTTGACAGTATGTTGATGCGTCACATTGTGCAGCCCTTGGGAGATTTTGACGGCAACTTGAGCCAGCAGACAGCTGACAGTTGGCGATGGTATCTAAAGGGGCCTATGCAAACAAACAGCTTATCTTGAGGATCCATCATCATCAGAGTACTTGTTTTACCGTTTCCACTAATAGTTCACATGCGTAGACAGTTAATACATAAAATCGCACCACTTTTACAAATCAAAATCCGCTTCAAACTATTATTTAAACTATACAGGAGCAGCAAACCACCGCCGGTCCCGCCAAAACCTCGTCTGTCATAATTTATAAAGTATGGAATGTAGAGTAGAAGGAGAACCATCTTATAAGGTGCGAAAGTTAAAATAGTGTTCCACTATATACTGAAAATAAAGGTCCCAAAACCTACCACAATAGCGCTGGTGTCTGAAAAACTACAATATGAATATAGCTGTTGTAGACGGAGTAACGTCAGCTAAATTCAAATATTTAAAAATTTTCATGACTAGAGTAGTTAGTAAAATACCAGTATTCAAAACCTCAACTATTTACGTAGTACAAAACCAAGCGGATTGGTTGGTCCTTGTTTATTTCTCCATCTTATTCTAACTAATTTTGGTGCTTTTTTAAATTTATCCTATGCTACTGCAGCGCCACCCTTATTGGACGCGTTTTTAGTGACACTTTTCATATACAGAGATGGTCTTCCTTCTACTCTACACTCTATGGAGCAAGGAACATACTACTCTCTAGCGAGAGCTATGGAGTGTAGAGTGTACTATCACAAGGATAGTGTATAAAAATTTGGAATTTATAATACATAAAAAAGTTAAAAAAACTAGATATAAATACATTCACAAATACCAACTTGTTTTTAACTTTTCCATCTGCAAGAACTTCAGTGTTACACATCAGCATATTGTAAAAAAATTTGTGAACAATGCACATCAGACTAGGCTGTATGACTTAAGACATTTGCCTGCTTAAATTGGTGGTCTGTGAACAATATCAACAAGCAACAACAACAACAACGCGTAGTGTTTCTATATAGTTTGTGACAACAACTTTAAGGTTATGAATTTAAAATTTATTTCTGCATAGTTTTATAATTTGATTCGTTATAAATAAAACGTTTATAATCACGAGATATGGCTAAGCATCATCCTGATCTCATTTTCTGTAGAAAACAGCCAGGTGTCGGTGAGTTTTATTATCATTTGGTATTTCTTTTACGTAGACACAATTTATTTATATATTTTTCATATTTTTTACAGCTATCGGTCGCCTATGTGAAAAATGTGACGGTAAATGCGTTATTTGTGATTCTTATGTGCGGCCTTGTACACTGGTGCGTATTTGTGATGAATGCAATTATGGATCATATCAGGGTCGGTGCGTTATATGTGGAGGTCCCGGTGTTTCAGATGCGTATTATTGCAAAGAATGTACTATTCAAGAAAAGGATGTGAGTATCTGATTACAATATAAATTGTTTGTAAACTTAAATATCGTGATAGGTTGGGAGGCCATGAGCTTGCTTTGCCAAATTGCCACATGATGATGCTTACTAAATGGAAAGCCGCGTCTTTGAAACTTATATTGGCTTCTGCAACTTTTTAAAATTGAAGTGGTAAACAAGCTTACAGTACAATTGTATGTAGCTACTTGCAGCCCATGGACACCTGCAGATAACTTGAAAATGCATATGTAGCCTTTTTCAAAGAAAATTTGGAATGCCTCATATTCTGTAATTATACTGGCTCTACCCTTCAAACCTCTTAGATACAACTCATTGGTACCCATTGATAGGGAGGAAGTTAGTTGTTAATGATAGGTTTACGTTGCTACTCATCCAATACCCATTGCTCACTCTAGCTTTACTATAATATGTAATTAATTGATATTTTTAGAAAAGTTTTTCGGCTACTCAAACTTTTTCTTGAGTGCCCACAGTTAGCAAACAAACTGTCTTCATATCATTTTCAAAGCTTCCATTTCTTCTTTTCAATTCAGCACACCAATTAAAAAATGTTTGCTTATTAATTTAAACTTCGTTGCACTAAAATGTGCAAAGGCAAACTTAGTGCCGTACTAACCTTCATAGCCTTCAGACACAGCAGTGTGAAAAGTGATATTTGGTGGCAAAAATAGGTAGGAGTATGGTAGCTAACTCTTATATATAGGATTCATAGGATAAAAACGAGACATATTACCATCAATCATTAATAAAAACCTAGGTACACAATCCCATGCAAAAATTCTCTAAAAGCTATCGCCAATTGTTTTGACGTAATTCTTGTTGAAATAAATATACATTAATGTAAATTCAACCTTAAACGCATTGTCTAAAGTTGTATTCACAAAACTACATACAAATTAAAGGCGCACCCAAATGTTTGAGTGGGTGCTCATTCGGTAAGGACATTTATTGTCACCTATTGTGCATATAGTTTTTTATTAGTGATTGATGCCTATTACCTAGTTAAACATTTCTACCAACTCGTAAAAGACTGGTGAAACTTTCTGAAGAATGTGACAAGACCTGTGCTCAGCAACATATCTCAGCAGCATATAGGCTGTTACATTGCTTCTTTTAAAATTATATAACTAATCTAATGTTATTATTTTTTCATTTTGAATTCTATAAAACCAAGCCACTTTTATTAAAAGTGACAATACTTGACAACATGATCTAATACAGAGAGGCTTTTTTATACCAATATACCAATGTTCAAAATTGAATGTCGGCTATTGATATAAAAAAGTGTTAGTTCCTATTCTTGTTTTTGTTCAAGGAGAGGCCTCTAGACAATGTGAGTGATGACCGCTCTACCATTTGAGGATAAGTGACTACTGTAGCCAGTGGACAGCTGCTGCCAATACATTCTCACCCTTGAGGATTAACATGATATAACCTAATTAGCCAGTAATTTTATATGCTCTCTTCACCTTCAAACTAAGACCACTAACACCACAGGGCATGAACTGCTACTTGGTGGCAGGGATAGGTTTTCATTCATCATTACAACCCTTCACAAGTTCACTGCTGAACATAGGGGAGGCCTATGTTCAGGGATAGATAAGGTGATGCCAACAAAGATCAACAACTAGGCAGAGAAGGAGACTTATCACCTGCTATTGTTGTATAAAATACTGACAATAAATTAAATTTTACTTCTTTCAGAGAGATGGGTGTCCAAAGATTGTCAACTTAGGAAGTTCAAAGACAGATTTGTTCTACGAGAGAAAGAAATATGGTTTTAGAAAACATTAACTGCCAATTTTTGCAGTTTACTGAATTGGTGATTATATAAAGACTGCTGCAGTGTTTTTGTATTATGTGTGATGAGATAGTTTATGCTTTTCAATTCAACATAAGTACTAAAGTATCAATACTTAATAAACTATATAAATTATCTTTTAAATAAAATAACTGACATTTCCACATTAGTACAGACAAATACGCAAGCACATTGGTGACTGTACAATGTAAATAAGTAATGCTATATTGTATTATTAAGATAAAAATAAAATAGTTTCAAAAATTTATATTGATCTTGATTTTTTATTCTATAAATTTTCCTTTTGACTGGCCACGGAGAAAATATTGCAAATAAAAGTCTTTTGTATGAGACAAAGGACAGTTATTTTTAAAGTATAAATAAATGTTACCGTGAGAATATCCAGTACACCATTTCGTCCCATGTAGGTCGTAAGAGGCTACAGAGGGAAACTGAAAGATAAGATGGGCAGCAGCATCATCCCGATAACTCAAAATTATAAAAAAAAATGGTTGCCAAACCACCAGCAATGCATGGCAAATATGGCAATATCATGTCTATGCAGCACTCTATGGGGGAAGCTACTATGTTCAGCTGTGGACTTTTTATAGGCTGTAATGGATAATGTATAAATAAATTTATAAGTAAAAATACGAATGTTCCAATTCAAATTTTCTTCCACATTGAAATATCATATTTCTGATAAATGGACCTGCATCGGAAACTCTTCTTCTTTCTTTTTTATGGCGGTTTTGATCATACGCCAATTGCGCCAATACGCGTGTTTATTGAGTACAAGGTCAGTAGTTACAAATACTATGCCCATGTACAAAAGAAGATTGTGATAATACAAGTATCTTATTTTCTTTAAACCACTTTTATTTTCGTGCGACAATATTTTACTATTTTTAATGTCGCCTAAAACCCGATGAACCTTTTGTTAGATTTCAAATGGCATTCATGGGTAAAGACCGTGCACCTTTGGTATAACAATTTTTTTGAGAGATATAGAAAGTGTCGTCGTAGAAGTGGTCGCCTTTGACTTTTATAACGGTTAGAAATATACTAGGAGTACAAATAAAATGGTAGAGAATAGGCAAGTTACGTATGAAGAGATTCACGAGATTTTACACGAGCACGTTTGCGTGAGGAGGGTATTTGCAAGGCGCACAACCACACCGATGATTCGAACATGCCCGCGTGGAATGGTGCCGTAACATAAGTACTATTTATGAATAATGTTGAAGCAGGCTCATATCTTTACGGCTTTAATACAAATCTTGAATTTTAGAAGCGCGTATAAGAATTTTGATCGCTAGTATTCTTCACTTAGGTACTTGGTGTTCATTCCTATACAAGATCGAAGTAGCATCAATGTGGAATGGTATACTACAAAACGCTTGTCAGATGTGTTCACTGCTGTGAGCAACAACCATCAATAAATTATTGTAATTTGAAGTGCTGATTTACCACGCTCTTTTTTATAGAAGAGGCAAACAAGCATGTGGCTCACCTGATGGTAAGTGACTACCGCCGCCCATGAACAACTGCAACACTAGAGGAATTGCAGATGCGTTGCCGGCCTTTTAAAAAGGAGTAGGCTCTTTTCTTGAAGGTCCCTAAGTTGTATCGATCCGGAAAAATCGCTGGTGGTAATCGATTCCACAAGGAAGTTGTGCGAGGAAGAAAACTTCTTCTAAATCGCACACTCAGCGGTGAAGGAAAACGTCGTGAATTACCTGCATGTATGGGGAATAAAATATTCTAAGCGATAATATGTGAAATCCGTATGCTTGATGGCGGTGTAAGAATATCCACACAGGAGATTGGCAACGGCGTCATATCTAGTCATATCATCTCCTTTATAAAACAATCCATTTGGATGCCTATGTTCTGTAGCCGACTTGATAGTCTGTAATCAATGAATGAATGTAGTGTAGTGTGAAGACCGCCAACACGCAATTATAAGTAACGGTGAACTAGAAATGAGAGACCTGTCAGCTGTGCCCGGTTGTGGGGCGTATTCCGTTATAAAAGTGTTTTACCATAGTCTGAAGTGACACAAAAATAATTTACGAAGGTTTTTTAAAATAATTATTTATTTCTGTATTAAATAAGATAAAACAATATTACATAAATACAAAAATAATATTGTCAAATTAATATTTTTTTGACTCGTCTAATTGAACTACTTACATAATCTTGGTTATTTACAAAAACATGCTTTATTCTAAAATAATGTTCACTCTGTAGTTATATATAGAACAGCGAGAGATCGCTATTTATGCAAGTAAATGAATACATTATAATCTTATTTGATTCTTCTTTATTCGTATTTATTATCAAGTAAAATGAAAATCTACTACTTCAAATAGATACATATTTGGCTCTTGCCTATGAAATCGCCGTTTTCGAATACTGCCTGTATAATGTGAAATCATATTATAGTCCAAACTCAAATGTAGTAAAGTTCAAATGTAGTAACAAACATTTCAGATTATATTATGTATTTTGAATGAAGATTAAACTTTGAATAAACTAATTTAGCGGATTTTACCGCGTATAATTTAAACATTTTTTTATGACCTTTCGGGCTATCTACAGAAGTATCTACAGAAAAGTCCCACTCTGTAAAATACGTAAAGTTAGTTTTATTCAATGTGTAGCATTTGCGTTAATATATGAAATCATTTAAAGTATAACATACAAAATTACTTGCATACGACAATTTCATACAAAGATAAGAACCAAATATTTACAATTAAATTATATAGAATCATTAAGGTTAATAACTTTCTGTTGTAATAATATAGGACATCAAAGCGCCCTATCGGTTAAATTTTTATTGTCAACGCCTAAATTTAACTATATCACGTTCATTTTTCTAAATAAAACCTACTGGCTACACTATTTGCCGAAGAAATGGAGGGGTTGGTCCAAATATCTGGCTCCTTGGATCCAATTTCAGAGTAAGTCGGACGAGCGGGTATAATAGGAGACCGAATGCACACTCTGAAAACAAACACATATTTACAAATTTAACATAAACTTAAAATATTATATTTTTAATACAAAGAAATGACTGTTGTTTTTATATCACAGCTTTGCTTGTATATAATAATTTTCTAAAATAATAAATGCATAAATTTGCTCATGCTGTGGCAAATAAAACTATTAGATGATATTTAAAAACATAGCATCTTTATTATCTATGTGTATTATAGGTTAATATTATTTAATAGAGTTTTATTTATGCTTGAATTTTTAATATATTTTAATTAGTTAATTTTTTCTTTATAATTATTATTTTAAAAATAAAAGATTAACAACCGTCATGCGTGCTAGTGCGTTTCTAAATCCATACACTTTGGGATCACTTCCACTGACCTGTTGCTGTAAAGTTAAATCAGCACAATCCAAATATCGACCTAAAACATAATTTATAAAACGTAACAGAAATTTGTTATGTTCTAAATTATATATGAATAGGTATTCATACAACTTGAATGTCAAATGCCTTCTTTTAAGAATCACCACCATATGTACATTCCGGATTCACAGGAGTAATATGTGATTTAATTCCTGAACATACTTTGATGGAAAGGGGAGGTCTTTTTCTGACAGTGGTAGAGCCACGCGGCAGCTTTTGCTGTTGCACGGATGGGCCGGCTCGAACCGGGGTGGTACCACGACCTCACAGAATACCAGCGTGAAGTAGAGGTTTACCTCTGCGTTTCGCTTGGTGAGTGCAGGTGGCCGGAGGCCCTTTTTACTGGAAATGAGGCATTCCATCTTAGTCCTCACGGGTGACAACGCATCTGCATTTTGATTTGTAATAGAGGATAGATGTAGATGTCTATGGACCGCAGCCTCCACTTACCATCAGGTGGACTGTGTGCTCGTTTGTCACCCTTATTCTATATAAAAAAAAACCATCGGACGAAAAACGGCCGGTGGGCCACCACCCTTTTCTTGTCGATGTTCCACGCATTCCAACTCAACTGAGAAGGTTCGCTTCGTGTTTCTTAAAGCCTACAGCAAAGAAGTTGAATAATTTGCCAGCATTTGTCATCATCACTTACAACCAGGTGATCAAACACTGTATTTTTTAAGTTTAGTTTAGTGTGTTTAAAAAAAAGTTACGTCCACACTAGTATTTCTCCTGTATTTTAGGGGCAGTTTACATACGTAAATTTTACGAGGACAAACATCCAGGTCATTTTTGTAGGCCATACAAATACTTGTTCCGTGCAGGATTCGAACCTGCGGCACTTAGTGTTGCACCTCATTGCGAAGTCACTGCATCAGAGAGTCATTTATAAGTAAAAAAAGTCAGGGTCAAGCAAAAAGATTTTGAGATCTTTGCCTGACTTAAGTGTTTTTCAATTCATTGATAAATAATTTACACCAGAGGAATCAACATATCAAATTTCGTACAACATATCAGCTTTCGGCCATCGTTTTTCGGTGGTCAGACCCACCCTGAAAAATCTTCTAGATTTTGCAATCCATTGGACGTTCCTTTTCAACAATTATCTGACATACGTAACTGAATAGATTTGCCCCTACTACTTGTAATACATACATATATTATTATCTATTTTGTGACCCTACTCAGCACGCTGGGTAGGTGGGTAAGTGAGCACTGACTCGTCACGTGTCTGATTTAATTTAGATTTTTTTTTAAATTACCTTAACATGACCACCAGCGAATTGTTACTTCTGTTTTATCGTTTTAATAACTTAAATTAAAATTAAAAAAAAAACAAACGAAAAAAGAGCTGATAATCTTGAAACGGCTTAAAAGATTTTGTTGAATCATAACTAGAACGCTCTCGATAAAGTCACCTTCCAACTAAAAACAACTAAATCAAAATGGGTTCGTCCGTTTGGGCGCTACGATGCCATAGATATACACACTAATACACACGATAAACTTATACCACCCCTATGTTTTCCTTGGGGGTTAAAAATGGTTAAAAATTTTGATACG